CACACACACACACTCATGCTGAATCATACTTCACTGTGAGACTCAAAGTGCGGACTGCGAGTGCTGATTTTTTTGTGTATTTTTGTGTGTGGGGGGGGGGGTGTTTGTTTGAGAGAGAGAGAGAGAGAGAGAGAGAGAGAGAGAGAGAGAGAGAGAGAGGGGGGGGGTGGAGAAAAGGAGAGAGGGAGAAAGGGAGAGAGAGAGAGAGGTGTCATGCATAATTTCGTGAATGACGATGACGTTGAACAGGTCTCTCTGCAACTGAAATAGATTGTTTGCTCTATTGTTTGTTCTGTTTTCTTTCGAGCCTGGATGGTTGGGGGGCACTAAGTAGCATGTCTTACTTCCACCCCCTCCCCCCACACCCACACCTACACTCCCTGTTGTAATTGTGGCTGTCTTTCTTGCCTTTTTCCACCCCGAATAAGCTGTAATACCTGGGAAACGTTCTGGAGTTTCATGTTACGCAAGCAAAGGGTGTATTTATTTTATGTCATCTTGAACTAGTTAGGAATAACCATTCATACACAAGTACAATGTAATAAAATTATTATTTAAACATTTTAAGTGATGCATGTTTGAACACCCATGAGTGCTAACGACGGATTGCAATTTTGCCACGAGAAATGTCAACATCAAAACTGATGCGGGTTTCATACAGGAATGGAGAGTGGAAATAATTTAATTTGGTCGCTTTTAAATAAAAGGACAAGCTGGCTAACCCAGATTTCTGGGGTTTCCAGAAATCTTGACCTATGCTAAAAGTGGGCAGCTTCAGGAAAAGTTTTTTTTTTTTTGTAGGTTTTACGGCGCTCGCAAGTGCGATTGTGCGGCCGCGTTTTTTCGCATAATTCCGCAACATTTGCATAATTTTGGATTCCCCGTTTTCATGATTTTTTGCATTTTTCACAAAACAAGTTAACCAAACACCTCGCCGTGTGACTAAAGGGAAGTAATATCAGTAATAAGTCATTTAATTGGCAAGTTGATCATTTCGCTTGTTAAAAGATCTAGGAGTGAGGGGTTTTAGGGTTAGAGGTTTTGTTCCTTGAGCCTGTTCAATTTTTCAATCAATCAAAAGTTGTTCTCATGTCTGCAGATGTTTCATGTTTGACAGGTAGGTCCAGATTTCTTTTAAAAACATTTTTCTTTCCTCTTTTGAGGAAGAAGCGAAAAAGAAACGTATTAAATAAGAACAGAAAATGCAAAAACAAGATGCAGCCAAACGCACAAACTAATTACACTCAGAATGCATGACGGCAGCTAATAGTGACCATAGCCATTGGTGGGTCATTCACCACTAACCCCTGAGCCAGAGATGACACCTCTAGTTATCCAGGTTCTCCCTCAAAAGTTGTCTCAATCAGTCAGCCTTGTAGTTTCCTTAGAGAAAGTTGAATTTGAAAATAGCAAAAGTTGCAAAAAGCTGCAAGAAAAGTTGCAAGACATGTACAGAGTATCAAAAGTTAAATGTGGCGTCGGTGGCCTAGTGGTTAGGCTCTCGGACTCGCAACCGTAAGGTCGTGGGTTCGAATCCCGTCAGGGGCCCGACGTTGTGTCCTTGGGAAAGGCATTTTGCACAAATTTTCCTCACTTCACCCAGGTGGAAATGGGTACCCAGCTATAGACGGTGAAAGATCTTGTCAGTTTGATAGTGTTTGAGCGCGTGAAATCGGCAGCTTGCACTGTATGCTTCCGTGGAAGCTGAAAATGTTTCTGAGTGTTCTCAGAGGGTCTGCTGGGGTAATAATAGTTGTAAAGCGCATAGAGCAAGCTCTTGAGCATGGATATGCGCTATATGAATGCAATTATTATTATTATTATCTCTACCGTAATAAAACAAAAACTGCATGGAGGTTGTTTTCAGGCAACGAGTCGGGCGATCATCCCAAAACAGTTTCAAATATAATCTTACACCTTTTTGGGGATTTTTGCACCCCCCCCCCCCTTTTTACACGTTTCTTACATCCCCCCCTCCATATCCCGTAATATTTATATTCATTCGCTTATAATAATATGACATTTATATTGTGCAAATCTGTGTTAAAATCATACACGTGACACACATGTAATAATTAAATATGGTATAAGCAGAACTTTTCCGGAAAAACGTCTAAGTGAAAAGCAGAGTTAACTCTTTTTTTATGTCATGTTTTGTCTTTAAAAATTTATGTTGTCATAAATTATTTTCCTTGTTATTTTTTCACCTTATAAAAGGGAAAATTACATTGGTTCAAGACCCCCCCCCCTCACCCCCTCCCCCCCCCCCTTACACTTTTCTTTTACAGGAGTCAAGACACCTCCCCCCCCTTTTTTTAGGCCTTTTCCAGGCGTAAGATTATAATATTTGAACGTCCCCTAAGGATTTTCTGGATGAATCGATTCATGTCTAGATCTACCCTCCGGGCCCAAGATTTAAAGTCTTTCGCAAATTTTTACATTAGATCTATCTACCTGGTGCTACGGAACCAAGCAAAGCTGCTATCGTGGCACAAATCGATCGCGCCCGACTCATTGCCTCAAAAACAAACGCGTTGTTTTCAGGCAACGAGTCGGGCGATCATCCCAACCCGATCTCATCCGCAACGGGCACTGGGCACCCCGTAGTACAAAGGAAGTGGTAGATCTAATTTCAGGTACGAATTGACCCCTTCGCTTCGTTATTTATTATTTATCTTCAGTTGTGGAAGAAAATTTCGGTTATTTTTACCGAAATTAAATTGATATTTTTCCAACTTTTGCAGAAAATTGCCTAAAATTCACGAATTCACAAAAATGGCAAAAGTTGCGCAAAAGTTGCGCAAAAGTTGCGCTGAGGCCAAAAATTGCGTACGCAACTTGCGGGTTGCGCGCGCGAATTTCTCTGAGGACAGATATATATATATATGTCCCTCTGCTGGTCAGTTCACTGACTTGTGACTGTCGTGGCGGGGCAAATTCACATCAGTCAAATAAGGACCATACAACTCAGACTGTTGGTAGATGGCGGGGTGTAAGGGTGCAAATACCATGTTTATGATAAATGCGTTCCTTTTTGTATGTTGGAAAAACAATAGGGGTGTGTGTGTGTATGTGTGTGTGTGTGTGTGGGGGGGGGGGGGTTTAATAGTTTGACGTTATAAAAAAATATGCTTGTACATTTATATATGTATTCTGACATTTTTGTAGCTGTTGTTTTGTCGAAATTGATTCCGATTTGATAGACCCCGAGGACCTTACAACACTATAATTATATAACCTGCTTGATAGACGTGTGTGTCCCCCCCCCCCCCCCCAATCGTAAGCCTTCATCGTAATTGTGAGCATCAAACGAAGGTAACACTAACAGTAACAGGTGTACAACTACATGTATAATTGTAGCCCTTGACTGATAATTGCACCTCCTCTCGACATTTAATGATACCTGTGTTGGTAAAAGGAAGGTAAAAAAAAAAGTAAAAGAAAATATAGGGACCCAAGAAAAAGCTGTACCGGGTGCTTGGAAATTAGGCGTTTATAAAGTAGTGACATGTGATCCTTACGAATAATATTATTATGGAGACATCTTCCGCATCACATGTTCCCGAGAAAATCCCACTGGAATAAATTATGTAGAATTGTGTTTAGTTTTTGTTTTGTTTGTTAGTTGGGACGGGGGTTTTGTTTGTGTGTATGGTGTGTGCGTGCATGCATGTGTGTGTGTGTGTGTGTGTCTGTCTGTCTGTCTGTCTGTCTGTCTACCTGTCTGTCTGTATGTCTACTGTCTGAGTGTGACCCAATGAAGAGTGCATCAAACCATTTCGGCAAGTTGTGGTTGGAGTACTACTGTCGCTAAATGACTAATAGTAGAAATACGTGTATGATCGGTGGAGATAGTTCAAAACCATTACATAATATAAACATGCACATGTTACATACATTTATAGTTTATAGAGACTTGACAACGGACTTATATGTTTCTTGGTTTGGTTGGTGGGGGGTAGATTGATTTAGCCTTGCTTATGCTGAAAGTACTGAAAGCGAAATAGTCGTTTTTGTCTTTTTGGTGTGGTTTGGTTTTTGTTTTGTTTTGTTAACATGTTTCTTTGTTTGGCTGTTGTTGTTTTGTTTGTTTGTTGTTGTTGGGTTGTTGGGTTTTTTTTTGGGGGGCGGGGTGGCTGATTTATTTTGTTTCCCAATGGCGACTGAAGTCAGCAAGTTCAAAGCTGTAGTAATAAAAACCATCATCGCATACAGTGTTGTTGTTTTTTTGTTTCGCCATATATTGTCTGCCCTAAAAAATTCTCGCTCTCGATTATATATTAAATATCACTTCCCCTCTCTCCCCCCCCCCCCCTTCTCTCTCTCTCTCTCTCTCTCTCTCTCTCTCTCCCTCTCTCTCTCTCTCTCTCTCTCTCTCTCTGTCACACACACACACACACACACACACACACACACACACACACACACACACACACACACACACACACACACACTATACACGAGTGTGGTTGACAGGTGCTCTAGATCATATGGTGTGGTTTGCGTCTTCTTTCCTATCAAACATCTATCGTCTTCATCTCTCCTCCTTTTTTGTGTCTTGTAACACCTCTTCGGCACTTAATGCTTATATGACCTTATTGTGTTGCAAGTGACGAAAAACACTTACCGGTACTAAAATTTACTAAAACAAAAACAATACTCTCTCTCTCTCTCTCTCTCTCTCTCTCTCTCTCC